AAGTGAGGTGGTGCAGGCTCCCACCCTGGGGGTTTTTAAGAGGAGGTTGGATGACCACCTTACTGGGGTCGTTTGACCCCAGTGCTCTTCCTGCCATGGCAGGGGGTCAGACTAGATGATCTGCTCAGGTCCCTTCCGACCCTAGAAACTATGAAACTATGAGGAAGCTTCCTGCTGCTCCAAGTCCCATGCCATCCTGGCAAAGCCCGCCCTGCCTGCCCAGCAGCAGTGGGGGTGGCAGTGCGGAGGTATGCCCCTCACTGCTGCTGGGTAGGCACCAGTCACTTCACCAGGGCAGCGTGGGGCTCCCAGCAGCAGCACTGAGCTTCCCCACCTGCCCCTGCTCTACCCTGCTGTACAGGGTCCCACCCACAGGGCTGTGGAGGCCTTGGAGGAAGGACAGCAGGGTGGGGAGCCCTGAGCCTGTACCCCTCCCGTTCCCCCACCCACCCTCCAAGCAGGCTCCACTCTGGCTGCCCATGGGGAGGGGAAGCTGGGATCTACTCCCCATTGGGGTCACAGCAGCCACTACCTCCCACAGATGGCAGCTGGGCTCAGGCACTGCGGCAGGGGGCTGCAGAGCCGGGTCCCTGACCCCATAGCCCTGGCAGTTGGGGGCTCCCTCCAGCAGGGCTGTGGGGGGTGAGGGAGGTTGTGAGTGGGGAGTGAGAGGCACTAGCAGAGCTGAGGGGCTGTGGGTGGGGAGTGAGGGGCACCAGCAGGGGTGGGGGGCTGTGGCCTGTGGGTGAGGGGCCTGGATCTGTGTCCTGGTAAGTTAAGGGGGCAGGAGAGCTTTGATTTTTTCCATGATAAAAGCCTAAAATCAAATACCAAAATTTATAGATACTTAGAATTTATTATACTATAGTGATTGAGGCACTGGTAGGCTTCCAAATTGCTTTAAAAGTATAAATGTGCCGATAAAACATTGTTCAAGTGATACCTATAATGGCATTTCATTTTAATCACAGCTCTTTAGGGGGGTTTATCAGAGAATATGCAATTTTTAAACGGAGGAAACCAGGATCCTTGTTGATCATTAATAAAATTTACTCGTGTTTTGAGACTCAATGTTGTAAAGCTTGTTAAGAATTTACAATGTAAGAGGTTAGGTAAGTGCAAAATATTTTATTTGAATTAACATTCAGGGTTGCAGTATGTGCATTTTCCTGAAAATACAAAATTGGCCAGTTTAACTTGTAGCTTCAAATTTAGATTGACATTTACTACTTCCTAATACAGATTCTTGCCTGCTTCACAGGTTGTTTCAAGGTATGCATGTTGATGACAGTGATTCGGATGCTGAAGATGAAGACTAGTTGCATCCTTTAATACTAAGAGCTGAAGAAGCCAGAAATGGATGTTTCCATTTTTTTATTTTTTATTTTTTTGTTAAGCTTGTTTGCTTTTCAGCTTGGTTACGTGATAGAAGAGTGAAACACTCACTGCACACTGCAGGATGCATACACAACAATTCACGGGCCGTTTCCAGAAACGGAAAACCTTTGATGCTTTAAGGTCCTTACGTTCAAGTCCAGTGCTAAACAAAGTGAACAAACTAATAGCCAAAAATTTAAAAACGGTGTAGGAAACTCTACATATTGTGATGCACCCCTTTCTGTGAAACACTTTCTGGAAAGATTTCTGGAAGTTTATTTGGGGGATCCAGCCTCGTAAGGGTCTTTGGATTCCAGCCTGCATGCTTTGCAGCACTGTCCTGTACCTGAGAAGGGCTGGATGTTTTGTCTCTCGAGCTCTTCAGTGATGCTGCTCGTGCCCATCAGAGAAAGGCTTATTAAAATACAGCACAGGAATTTCTTCCTGTCTGCAGAAATTGCCAGTTGCTTCCCTAGTATCCCCTGACCTGGATCCAGATTGATTCATGTCTAGTAATCCACTGCTCTGGTGCTGCTGCAGCTTACTTGTGTTGGGGAATTTGGGAGTGGTTTTTCCTCCCTTCAGTAGACCTAGTTACCTTGATTTTTGCTGAATCTCTCTGTAGAAAAGTTACAGCCACTTACTGCATATTTGGTTTGGTTCATTAATTAATCTCCATATTGCTATAGTATATTAACTTATTTGTTTGGTTATTTGCATAATGATGAATACTAAAGCAGCTGATAGAATTTGCCCAGTCTGTGAAATTCAGTGCAGTTTTTTTAACCAAATATTTGTGAGGTGATTAAAGCAAACTTCAGCTGAACTGAATTTTTACAGATGTACAGTCAGCGGTAAGTTGAACCTTTCAGCTGACTGAGGACTGCCTGTTTTTCCTTCTGAAAGTCTAATATAAGGTTAGTGAAGAAAATGTTATGGTAAATACTTCTGTCTAAAGAACTTGCCTAGATAAATGGCTCTACAGTACTATCAGCTCTGCTTCTGAACTAGATCACTCGCTCATGCTGTTATTACATGTCAAAACGGCGTTAAGGTGCCGGATAAATAAATCTGCTGCTGCCACGGCTTCAGCAGAAGTCTCTGAAGCAAGAAAGCAATGATTGGAAGAAACCACTACACTGTCAGAACTGCTTCTTACGTACAAGATGGACAGAAAATATTGTGCTCATATTCTGTGTTTAAAATGAGAGAAGCCCAGGCACTTGGTAATGCTGCAGAGCCTTGAGAGGAGCAGTTCACATCCAGCTTTTGTTGTTAGTAAATAAATCTTTACTCAGATGTACTTGGCCAAACTGAGCAGTGGTTTTAGCTCACTTCTTAGAGGACAAATATTCCTGTTGCACAACTAGCCATCATAGCTGGCAGACTTGAGAGATCAAAGATATGGAAGACACAGGACAAATTCCATATCATGTGGAAATGGGCCATGGTTGCCTTGGATGAGGCCAGGGGAGTGTATGCAGGGTGAGTTTGCTTTTTGCTAATACTGTGTATAATTTGTACTTCTGGCACCTTTCACATGCACTAAAATCACTTTAAGACCGTAATCGTGGTTGTTGTCACGTTCACATCTGGTATGGGATGAATACAGGGTACAAAAGTCACCAGGTGGAACAGAACAATACTTTTTTTCTGGATGACCACTGTGATCATGTAACATATTTAACAGTGCATCAGGCTGATTCATGTGTCTAGTGACCATATGTATAAAGGTGAAGTTCACACTTGCACTGGCTATGGGACATTCTAGATCTCAGGAAAGGGGCTCCTTGCCTTTCACTTGTTCATAAAACCAGTGTTGGGGAAGGGGGGGTAGGGGGGCTCTCACTTCAGAATTCTAAGAAAAGATGTCTGTTTCGATATGCTGTTCGCTAGCTCTGATGCATGTTAAACACACACCAATCAAGAATTCAGACTAATTCAACTGGATGAACGTAAGCATGGTCTCTGAAGTGTTTCTTTGGAATTGAGATATTGAGAAAAACCACCCTATTGCATACCAGCTGTTTTAAGGAATGGTTATGTAAAAAAGTAGATAAGGATGTTCTATTTCAGGGCTGTCCAGCCTCCCAGGTAGCCCCCCTCCCATTTGCAGGGATAGCCCTCACTTGCTCGTGGGCTTCCAGGTAGATAGCCCTGTTCTACTTCCTACTGCAATGCACTGCGTAAGGGTTAGCTTTGTAAAGAATTTTTGCTGAGACAGCCACAAGGATAAAGCAACATTGCTGGTACTTCTTCCTTTTTAAGCAATCAAGAGCCCTGTTCCCTCAACTTTGTAAGAAACATGTAAATCAGTATCTATTATAAAGATGAATGTGAGATAAAGATTAATAAATATTATTTAAATGTAGATCTGTAGTTACTTATGCTAGTATTTGTTCCTTTTAATTGTAGGGCCTGCAGCTGAGCCCTGTTTTGTTACAGACTTCACATCAGAGGCATTCATGTTCCATTGCCATGTACAGACTGTTCGTGATATTCAGCAGCTCAGAGCGCTTGCCATAATCTTTGATAGTCATGCTTTGGGAACAGTTGTTGGCTTTTACATACTTGACCTACACCTTGTGAGTTCTAGTCTTCCCCTGGTTATAGGCAAGTTATAGATGCTGAAGTAATTACAGCTGCTTAGTAGTTAAAGAAAAATACTCACAGCTCCTGGGTAGATCTAGTTATGTTTAAAGCAAAACACACATTTTCTGCAGGAGTTTTAACTTTTTTGGCATTAGTCCTCATGGCCTAAATTCACATTTTTTTGAAAGTGGAATTTTTCACTTGAATTATAGGTAAATATACTCCCTTAAACTGGAAGCCAATATGAAAAGTCAGCCCCAATTACATGCATCTTTCCATGTCTGTTCTTACAAGCTTTTTAAACCTACAGAAATAGTTAGTAAACCTGGAGTACTCAAGCCCTGGCCTGTAGGCCAGATGCAGCCCCTGGCACTGTCATCCAGCTTGCAAGGCTCTCCACAAATCCTGGGGGGAGACCAATGGGCTGGGCCCCTCTACCACCCCTGCCCAGCTGTGATCCAGTTATAAACTGGCCTTGTGCCATTTACATGGCCTGTGGGACCACTATTGTGAGCACCACTGCAGTAGACTAACTGTTCACAGGGCCAAGGCTATCACTTCCTTCAGGCACTGAATAAATGCATTTGTGCTGTGTTGCTTTATCAATTCAAAACTTTTCAAGAAAAAACCTAGAGCTACTGCAATTTTCCAAATGGCATCTCTCATTCTCTAAGATTTTGGCACCTGAATCACACAACTATTTTTCATAAAATTTTACCTTCACTACTACTTTCTCATGTGTTTCCAGGAGTCAATTAAGTCATACTGTTTCTTTCCTTCTTTTTTTGGTTAGAAATGAATCTGCTTTTTCTGACAGTATTGGAGTTCCATGGGCTTTGCAAAAAAAAGTCAAGTTAAAAGTTGTGAATAGTCAAGATGACACTGTTTATTTGGAAAAAATACTAGATTTAATGTAGAAAGTTACATTTTGAATGAAAAGTTCATGAATTTCAATGTAAACAAAATATATATTGCTCAAGAAAAGTCTTGCCACCAACTTTTCCCTACAGTGGTTTGGTACAAGCTACAAAAAAAAGGTAACAGAACTTTATTCCTGGTTCTGATCCACAACATGAAGTCTTGATTGAGGTCTGCTTATCATCAAGTGTGGCTGGGGTGTTAACGAGTTGGGTTTGCTGGCTGTAGAGTTTTCCACGTGAGGACAACAGGATATGCCAACATGATGTAAGGAAAGGGAAGAGGCAATGTCTGGTCTCAGGCCCCACACTTACATACCTGACTATTAAGCAACGTGGAGGAAGGACAACACCATACATACATGTAAGCATTGCCATTTACTGGCTCAGACTGGTTCCAACTTACCCAGTATCCTATGGCACACAGTGGCAAAGAATGGATGCAGAAAGGAAGAGTGAAGTGGGTATGACTGGGGTTTTTCCCTCCCACTGTTCCTTTCCCACTTGCAACTCCCAGCATTTAAAAAGGTATAGGGAGTCCTAATTCAGGGGCTATATCCTTAACCAGCATGCTCAATAGCTACTGCTATGCCTTTCCTTAGAAAATGTCCAATCCCTTTTTAAATATAAACATTTCTAAGCTATCATAAAACAGCAAAATAACCCTTGGGATATTATAATGTTGGGATTTAGTGTTTGTGTGTTTTAAGCTCTACGCATAAAACAGTAGTAGTTGTTACAGATGTAAGTTATTGTTTACCTATTCAGTAGCTACTACTTAGCAAGACAATTTGAGAGCCAGATTGTCAGGGTTTTTGCTTTACTGAGGAAAAAAGGAAACCCAAAGTGTCCAGTCCCTCCCAGGAGTAGGACTTATCAGTACAAACTAACAGGTGCATGTTTCGAGGAAGGTTACTTACTGGCAGCCTCCAGCAGGGGCCAGTACAAATTCACTGAGGTCAGGAAGAAGCATTATGGGAGAATTTTAAAAAAAAAGAGGCAGTGATAGACTAATTTACATAATCAGCTTTTTGCATATCTTCATATTTGATATTAGAGATGCCCTATTTAGTTGCTATATAGATTAATACCTTGTTCACAACTGACTCTCTCATTAGAGAATTAAGTTAGTATTGGAAGTTGCTAGTACGCAATACAGAGGGGCCAGTCATGTGCTTAAGTAATGCCATATAGTCAGCATCCATCTGCCTGGCAGAAGATGGAGAAAAGCAAGTACACCTTTTTTTTGGTTAATTTAAGAGCCAACACAAATGTGTGTAGCAACTCCTCCTGCCCCACAGCTGGTGTCCCAGAGAAGAGCCTGTTGGTGTGCCCTGGATCACAAGAAATTAATCACTGTATGGCTTCTTAGACTGGCTTCTTTCTGCTCCCGTCTCCTTCATACTATATAGGGGCTCCACTAGTTTGTTATGAACAAGCATTAAACCTGGTACATAAAATAAAAGGAAACATTTAGTATGGGTAAAATGCATTGAATTAAGGCATTTTGTTGGTGAAAATACAGCCATTACTAAAATTGTATTCCTGCCACTGTGCACCTTTCTGAACAAAAAAACCCCTTCATTGGGAAGTCTTAGCAATGGGAATTACCAGCTTCACATTTTAAAAATTCTGCGATAAAGTAGCACTTTCTACCAGAGGCAGAAAAAAACCCCAAAACACATGGCATTTCATTCAAATAACTAAGCTGGCTTGATTGGTTTTGCTTATGGTTTCTAAGCAGCACCACTTGTTCTCATATACTAGCCCAGCACTAGGGTTCAAAACACTAAAAGTGGAACATTTAAAATGTTCCTCTGACGATTTTAGTTCACTTTAAAAAGTAAACATGGAACACAAGATTTATCTGACGGCTTCTTCCTCAAAAGGAGAACCTATTCAGCAGGAAAGATTTTCTAATGCAAAATGCATAGGCGGCAGAAGGAAGTGGGGGCTAACAGGGCTTAGCCCCCCCCACAAACACAGGGCAGTGGTAGGGCTACAAGCCAGCCTGGCCATGGGCTTCCGGTAGCTGCAGCAAGGGTGGGGAGGGGTGCATGCACAGCGAAGGAAGAAGGGCTGGGGCTGCACAGCAGGGGCAGAGCGCAGGACTGAGCTGCAAGTGGCTCGTCTAGGGGAAACTTGACTCCTGCTGCCATGCACACCACGGGGGAGGGGCAGGGTGCACACCCCCAGATCTGCATGGGGTGGGCTGCAGCTGCATGCTGGGAGGGCTGCTTCATGAGGTGGGGCTGGGTCATGCTGCATTCGGGGTGGGCAGCAGTTGCTCTGGAGGGGGCCTATGGGGGGGGGTGCAGCCACCTCGAATTTTGCCATAGCCCCTGCAACACCCCCTTCCCCCCCACAACACTGCCACCACCTGCGGCCTGACCCAGCCCCCCGCTGGGAAGAGCCCAGCGCAGATTCTAGCACAGGCAGAAGCTTGGGTGATTGGGTCCTGCCTGTGCCCCGCTCCCTCTCTCACTACTGGGGCCTCAATCTGCACCCCCGGCCCTTTCCCCTCCCTCCTATACCCCCACAAACTTACCTGCTTGGGGGAGGCCACGCACATGCTTGGCTTCCCAAATAACTTTTTCTCCCTTTGCCTGTGGCAAAATGTGCCACTTAAACATTTAAAAGCTAGCCAAAGAGACAGCTCGATCTGGCCAATTACTCACCTTTGAAGTATTTCACTGTTTTAACTTTGAGTTCTAGCGTAGCATCCTCATCACACACAAAGACAGTGTTGGGATGCTGCTGAAAGGCTGAGACTGTCCACATGTGGTTCACCCCCTCCTCAATGGCTTTGTAGAGAGCAAAGGCTTTATGGGCTCCCGTGATCAGAATCATCACCTGAATTCCAAGACACAGGAGTTCTTTTGTTAGGCTCCGTAACATACAGGTGAAAGAACACACCCAGCTGTGTGCATCTGCATTCAAAACATAGTAGATGCATACGTCAGCTGGGGCAAAAATAATTTTTTGTTATCCCTGCTTCATTTGCCTCAGAGAAACCATGGCCTGCCTCACCATTTTAGAATTAATGCATCTGGTCCTTTGAACTCCTGGTTTTTATGCAAAAACAAGCTGGGGTACGTTAGGCAGCTGCAGGCAGTGACCTAACCATTATGAGGTACAGATATACCAATACATTCAAAACACCCACTGTCCCCTGGCTCCCATGCTTTGCTAGTAGAGCACTAGGTGAGTTAGTAGTTCTCACACTGTTTTGTGAGCGTCTCAACTGGGAGGTCCTACAGGATGTTCTTAGTGCAGCTGTATTGAATGGCTACATTAAAATTAGTGTTAAAACAAGAACTTCGGGCAGAGCTTGGCTACTAGGAAATATTGCTGCTTGAGGACACTATATTAAGTGACTATTTTTATCCAACCTCTTTGGCATCCATGACTGTGCCTACTCCAACTGTCAGAGCCATTGTGGGGACTTTGGAAAGGTCTCCATCAAAAAATCTTGCATTAGCCAATATAGTGTCCATAGCCAGTGTCTTCACTCTGGTCCTGGATACCAGACTCGAGCCAGGCTCATTGAAGGCAATATGGCCATCTGGGCCAATACCTGTGTTGGAAACAGTTTAAAAAGCTAGGTCACTGGTTTAAACACTTACAGTAGGAAGCAGAATCCACCTCAATCTTATTAGAAAGACACTAATAGTTGTAGATACACAAGGAAGGAGCACATTCATCATAAAAAGCTTAGAAAGAAATTAAGGGCAGAATTCCTATGCAAGACAGGAGGGGCAGAACCAGACTCCCGCACATTTGAGGGGCAATAAAAGTAATGAGAAAGTTAGTTGTCAAAGGCAAGCTGACTGTAGCAAGATTTCTGTTAGTTTCCACTGTCCCAGCACCCTGTTCCCAGTAATAAGAGGGAATGGAAATAGGTAACGTACTGTTAGTGGAGAGGTGGATGTACAACTCGACTTCCTAGGAGCCCAGTAAGTTGCTTTAAAAAGGGAGTTCCCCAGAGAGCTAACTAGAACTATGGTAGAACCAGGCTGCATTCCCTCCAACTAGTAAGGATTCATTATTCCTTCAGATTTTCACCTCCAATAAACAGTTTGATCCCTCCAGCTGCTTTAATTTTTCCCTCAAAAGCATCACACTCTGCTTGTAGGTCAGCTGCGTTTCCATCCAGGATGTGGGTGTTTTCTGGAGAGATGTCAATATGCTTGAAAAAGTTATTCCACATAAAGGAGTGATAACTTTCTGGGTGATCCCTTGGAAGACCTAGAGAACAGGGATGTTTGTTATTCGTATATTACAGTTGTGTCTGCAGACCCCAATCAAGACAGGTGCCAAGACCGGACACTGTACAATCCAAAGTCCCGATCCTGTAAGCTGTTCTGCATTAGCTGTTAGCTGCACCCATTTAAAAGCCTTGTGACCTCTGTGCCCTGTACGGAGCAATTTCCAGGGTTGGGACCTGAAAATGGCAAATAAGTGAAGATGGGAGAAGGATATACAACTATGCATGGACTTGCAGTGTTTTTGATTACAAACAAGATGCCAGCTACTTCTCTCTCTCACTCTGGGCTTCTTTCATTTCCTTGAGTTTTGCATTAAAAATAATACATAGTTCAAGTAAGATCCCACTGCTAGGGAGAGGCAAATCATTCTTGTGCTTTGCTTGGGGTATTACACTATCATGGAACAGCTTCTTCTCCAAAAAAGCAGATGCACAAGTGTAACTGGTTATTGTCTTTACAGCTGTGCGCTAAACTAGCATGAGTAAGAGACTTTTACCACTGTGCCAAAAGCCTGGGAAGCAATGACTAAGAGACTAGCTAGTCTGATTTTTTGAGACTTCCCTGAGAGTTAAAGACATCCTATATAGGCTGTTTATGGGGCTAGTTTGTTGCATGAAGACTGCTCATAGAAAAATATGCAAGTTCTTTAACTACTCAGACCAGGAATCGTGGCCTTGTCTAACTGCTATTGCACAAAGAGCAGCCACAGCGTACATATTTAGCACTCGTATTAGCTACCTCAATAACCAGAGTATCTGTCCAATGGTCTCTGCATGCTGCATACAAGAAGGGGGTATTGCACCACAACCTTATAAACAAGGCAATCCCTATCTAGCAAAACAGGAGCCTATTAGTAAGTCTAAAGGACATTCTAGCTGGAGGCCCTGCCTTTCTCAATCAATTACAGTATTTCTTCTGAGCTAGCAAAATAGCAAGAAAGTTGCACCAGCTTTTATTTCCCTGACTGGAAGAAATCAGGACTAAAACAAGGATGTGCAGAATGGAACACCTTTTGAAAGCAGCATTTTGGGAAGGATTCCTTTATTGACATAGGAAGATTTAAAGCTATGGTGGCCCCCATAGTTGGAGGAAAAAGGTGCAGTTTGTTCATTTGTACTACTCGGTATTCTGCGCTCTTGTTTCTGTTGTCATCAGGTGCTTTGCAGTACCCAGGTTGTGCTGAAACTCACACAAAACAAAACAAGCATATCCAACAGATACAACAGACAGTAACTTGATGGCCTTTTAATATATTCTATATAGATCCAATTACATTAACGCTTAGATGAGGTGGTTTAGATGGGAATGATCCCCCTTGACCAGGGAGTTGAGACTAGATGGCCTCCTGAGGTCCCCATCAGCCATATTTTCTATCTATAGCCTGTAGTGATGAGTGCTTATACAGCCTCCCTCTTCAATTCTCTTCCTATCTGAATGTTCATAGCTGTATTGTGCAAGTTTCAGGATCAGCAAATCAGAGAATCCTACTGAAGGTATTCTTTGCTGCACTGAATAGCAGCAGCAGTGGACATGTTCAGTATCTCTGAAAGACAGGCTATGGGAGATGATTTACAAGTTAAGCAATAGTGAAGAGTGATAATTGTAGCTGTGATGGTCCAGAAGTTGTGCGAGACAAGGACTACTTAGGGCGATAACTTTTACTGGACAAACTAGGTCCATGCCCAGGGCAGCTGCCCTGATTGCCCTGCACTGGTTATGGCACTGCTATTAGCAAGTTGCAGAGTTCAGACAGCAAGGTGTGACAAGGCAAAGTCAGCCAGGTGGCTGCCAAGAAACCAACTCAAAGGGACACTGTGCTCATTTCCCTCCTCTCTAAATTATCAGGCACTGCTTTTTCTACAAAGAGTTTAACAGTGTAGTAAATGAAACAAGCCAGAAATATCTACATTTCGTCTATCACAAAGTTGGGGGGAAGGGGAGACAAAGCAGGGAAAAAGGTTGCTTGTGCCCTTCCCCCCACCCTGGCCCCATGTCATGGAATTGGTGACTCACCTACATATTCATCCATATTAAAGGTTTTCACATACTTGAAGGACAGGTCTCCATTCTTGTAATATTCAATCAGCTTTTTGTAGCACCCTAATGGGGTGCTTCCTAGAATAGATACAAGGACAAATCAAAGTAAAGGAACTAATGTTTCCATAGTGCCAAGGGCCACCCAGTTGTTTAAAATTGATCAGTAATTCAGTTCTGTAGAGTGTTTTGTTACTAAAGACCGAGCTCCTTTATTGCAGAACATTGGCCTCTCTTGCACAAACACGGAGTGCAAATTCAGTACTGGCACCATCTTCAAAATCCTGCTCGGAGCAGAACCTTGCTGAGGAGCAGCAGACTCAGTGCACTTTACTGAGCTTTGCAAGTAAACACACAAAATCATATTGCCTTTGGGTCTCAGACTGGTTGGAGA